AATATCTACTGGAACTCATTATTAATATTCTTGCTCAAGAAAAATCATTTGTGCGATTCAATTGTTCCAGGATGAAAGAGAAATTAAAGTTCTATCGATTGAGTTTCTAGCCAAAATTTCACAAGTTGCCCAGAACATATTATAGATCTAATTCTTTACTAACAGGAGTAATAATAATAGCGTTTATCAAAGTCAACACATTTGCAACTCCTGTCACCGTAGTACAGTTAGTTCAATTGAAAAATGCGTTGTTATTTGTGGATGGTCGAATACTCTAGTCCACCAACTTACTGGATGAGCCCCTAACGTCGCCCTCTCCTGTTTTTTTCTCTGTCCTGTTTCTGTCTCTTTTCTTCTCAGGTTAACAGACACACTTTCTGCTTTTCGTTTTTCTTCTCTCTTCTGTTGTGAAGTCATGTAAATGTGTATCGTGTGATGATTTATCGCATGATTCTCTACTTTTATACACATACAGTTCGTAGCTAACAATACATTGTTAAGCTCTTGCCTTGACTAAATATCTGTTTGAGTTGAAATCTGATAAATATGTAACATTAACTATGGATAAATATTTGAGATAGATGGCAGTTTTTCTTCTATTGACATTACACAATTTGACTATGACATCGATCTCCGAATGAGAAATGTTATCTTCTTGAGTATCTAATTTTTACTTTGGCACTTGTCGACAGTTCATTTTTCCAGTTAGGATGTTCCACAAAAGCGATGAAAACTTTTTACTGATTGTGTGCTTCAAAAATATTCTATTTATTGTAAAAGACAAGTTAAATTGATGAAAATGACTTCGTCAATGTGAAAGTCAGTTTCACATCAGAAGACCTGCATTACAAAAGTGCACCAAACTCCATTTACAGAGAAGCGTTAAAAAAACGAACTTTACTTTCACCTTGTAAAATGTGAGATCGAGATTAAAATTGGAACTTAAAAATTTGATAGAATCTGACTGACGTTTGCAGAGTGAGCTTGGGAAAACTGAACAATTGATGTTTAATCCGATTATTCTACTTGTTCGAAGAATGAAGACGCAACTGAATTGTGTAAAATGAAAAACAAATAAAAGAACTCTTAGACGTTGGAATCAATACTCAAACGAGAAGAAGAGAATAGATATAGTGACAACCAATAATTTTTTTGCACCTGTGCCATTTAATATGAGAATGATTTCAGTACTCTAAGCCATTGATAAAAGAGAATAACATTGAAAGATCTCGATACGAGTTTTATCGTGAACGACTTTATTATTCGTAGATTAGAAATTCTTGGGCATAGAAGGCGAAAAAGTATCGTTCGAAAGAATTTCAAGTTGGAACGAGTTCCGACTAGAAATGAAAGTACTGACCGAATAAGAAGTAATACAATGTTGGCTCATACTTATTCATATACAGAAAGTACGATCAGCATTGATTTCAGAAATACCAATTATAATATTTAGTAACTAATTATATACCTTGTATCCCTTTATAGATAGTGTCAGTGTAAGTTTCGATCTCCTCTTCATCCACACCCCACCCCACACTCACACCTCCTCTACACACACACGTGTAGGCACATCCATCCACACCCAATAAGACAAAACCGTATTTTCGTTTAGAAAAATATCAATATATTAAAAGCCAAGAATAATAGTATATTCTGTTGTTAGCCACTATGATTAGATATAGTTATTTCAAAAATGAGAATAAACTGGTGATGCAAGGAGAAAATATTGAAGAAAAAAAAATGTATTCTGATTTCTGGATGTTCTTGTAGTTTGCCATCATAGTTCACAACTGGAAAATTAAGACAGATCTGTTTTTTTTTTCAGTAAGTTTATCGATGAGCTTCAATGTTTTTATTGTTAAAAACTAATGCCAACAAAAAAAGCAATAACATGCCATGCATTGCGTTTAAAACGATGTGGATTCATTTGAATACTTCGCTGTTTCATTCAGGAATCGTGTATAAACTGCTATGGGAAGTGTTTGCTTATATCGTTTTTCTAGTTCAATATTTAGACGATCGAACATGGACCAAAATTCTTTTTGCAGCCTACATCGCTCCGAAAACTCATAAAGCTGTTCGCCATTCATATTTTCAGTTAATAAAATAATTATATCCAAGTTTTTGTCGAAGAGAAAATCTCGGACGTGCTGTTCAGACCATAGTACAATTGGAATTTGTTTGTATTCAGTTGAGATAAAATTAGCACGATTAAGTAACTTTGAGATCGATGATGCAGTTATACAAGCAGTTTGTAATATGGGATCATTGACAATAGGTTCTGTCCTAGCATGATACATCACAAAATGAAATGTATCTTTGTCAAAAAATCTATTGCGAAATAGTTACAATACCTGTTCATTTTTGTGGTTTGTTTAGTCGTTTCTTTTGTAGACTGATATCGTTCAATCTCAGCTATTAACAAGCTCATACTCTTTTCAAAATCGTGTTTTCCAAAATTAATATACAATTTTCCGGCAACTATGAATCCAAGCCAATCGTCTAATTCAACTTCTCTCATTTTTAGTGGAATAATTGTTTTCTTTCGATCACGTGCATATTCGGCTTCATTACGGCAAGTTTCGCTTTGTTTATATGTTTCAGACATACATATGAGAATTATTTTCGATTTTTCAATTGCCTGTGCCATTGCTTGACATAAGGAACCACTCATTTCATTTTCATCTAACCATACTCGATAATGGCACTGTTCTATTAAATACTTGAATATTTTACGTACTAATGGCTTATCACCCCAACTATAGCTGATCATGAAATCAAATTGTGTATTCTCGCTTGTTGTTTTTTCTTGATATTGCTTTTTAAATTCATTTTCCTTTTCTAATTTCCAGAGAACACCATCTGCTGCTTTTTTCAGACCAGGATTTGTCGTTTTATTCTTATCTTCAGCAAGTTTTCGAATATGATCCATAAATGCTTGATTGTTTTGCAATACCTGTGCTGCTTTCGTATTGAAAGACATCGTAAAAAAGCATTCTAAAGCCAATTGTTCTACGGTTTCGGTTGATTTTTTAGTATTTGTGTATAGTACTTGTCTGCCTTTTGGAATTGCAAGATTGTCAAAAAAATTCGTGGCTGATTCGTCATCGATACTCAATATGGATTTTAGCAGGGTTGTTTTGCACCGCGACTTTTCCATGGCGACTTCCATTAACAGTTCTAAGCCGTTATGTAGAAGACAGTCAGGTTTCAATTGATTGAATTGTAGAAATGCTGTAAAAAAAATCCGAAGGAATCATTCACATGTCATAAACCATTTTGCAGAGACTATCTTTTAGGTTGAAATGTTCCGAGTCTTCAACATAGTACTTCATTCATGTGCACCTATACATCTGTTTGAAAAATATTCTTCATACTATTTTCTACATCGTGTGAAGATGTGTTTTTTTATCTTTAGCAATGATAAGAAAATATCGAATTGAGTTTCTCGGTTTTCTGATGCAATACGATTCTTAATGAGTGGTATGCCTTAGATTCTTTTAGATACATCAAAGAAAAAAAAATACTAGACAGAGCACATTGTTATATTCTTTGAAATTAAAAATATATTGACTTTTGACACGCTTCAGTTTTTTAGGATATTAAATGAAGTTTTGGGTTTATAATAGGTTTGAAATCTGAAAGTCTAAAACATTCTGCTTGCTCCCTCGTGACCTGGTCTCTTGGCAATATTCTTACAAATCATGGCAAATATCTCAACATGATGTTATTGTTACTCTGTTTAAGATATGTTACCAACGTGACGTTGATTCTCTTTTATGGCTAAAGAAGATCCATCATTGTTTATAATTTAATGCTGCAGGAGTTACACTGAAAATATGTTGAAAATTTTGTGTTCTTTTCACCTTCAGATTTGCAGATTTCGTTAGATTTCACATATGTTAGTTTATCTTCAATCGATTGAGAATATTGAACTCTACGAAAAAGTCACGTGATTTTGTTGTAAGACAGTTTTTTTTAAAATTCTATTGGTGTTAGTGATACAGATCTCGATGTATGATCTTTATGGTGGCGTCATGAATGATGATATATAATATGTGATCTCATTTTGTGATCGGAATAGTTTAATCGCACTGAATAATTTAATCTCAAATTATTCTACTAGAATTCTTGTTATTAGTTTTGGTTTTTCAGAGAACTCAATATGGAACAAAATCAAATTTATCATTGATGTAACACAAATAATCTTCAACACATAATGAGCTAAAAGGTACCAAGAACATGCTGCCATCGTTTTAGTAATACACTCCTTAGAGTATATTTGCTTTCAGTCTGTGAAATAGTGAATTGGCATTCGATAACTGTTACTTGTCAAAGTATCGATTCACCGAATACTGATAGTAAACTTTTGAAATAAAGTTCATGTTTGTTCATTAAAAATATTCGGTTATACCAATAGGAAGATACTACTGCAGGCAGCTTTCGTGAACAAACATTATGGCATGATTCACGGCATGTTTACTTTCTCTAGATTGCCGCACTCTTGAAAAAACACTGCATGTTGATGAACAGATCTCGGAAGAGTAAATGACTGATGAAATTCATCGGAAAGATCCTCAGAATCGGTTCGACTACATTGGATTCAAAAGAATTAAGGACCTTCTTTTGTTCAGGACTCCGACCACTACAAACTATCGAAATCAGATTATGCATTGATCAAATTCTGAAAGTCACAAACCTGAAAGTCGAAGAAGTGATCGAATTTTCAGGAATTCGATAGAATCAAATAGAGTATCTTCGACTTCCTAGGTCGAGTGACCCAGCCATCCGAACTGATAATACTATTTGATTTACTGTATGATTTCTGTAAAATCGAAAGTCTTGAAACTCAATGAGAATGATCGATTACGATCGAGCGAGAATAATACGAACTGGCACGAAAAAAGGTTTAGCCATTTGAAAAGTCTACTGCGTGCTTAGTCTTATGCAACAATTAATACTAATATCTAAGTTCAAATATTGATTCAGTCACCAATACCCTACTTGATAGAGCTTGTTCGAAACTTACCTTTGAGTGTTGTCAACAATGTTATCAAATCTCTTAAACGTAAGAGACCTTGTATTTCACCAATTGCTGCCTCTTGATTAACAATACGTATGGAAGTTATTAATGTTGAAATTATTTCTTTCGTAAAGCTTACTTCATTTTTAATATCTTTTTCATCTAGTAATAATGCCAAAACGTTATAAATACATAATTTAATTGGATTATCATTTTTTATTTGATTCATTAATTGCAATAATATTTTTTTCATTTCAGTATTATGTTTTACTTCCGCAAGACAATCTCCATCGGTATTAATGAACATTAGAATTAACTGTAATATTGTCCACGTAACGAATGTAATTGTCAAAGTTTCAGTCGTATTTTCATAGTAGTTATCATCCCATCGAAATGGTATTGTACCATAATCATTATCACTATCATTTTTTATGAGACCTTCCAAAATATATGAGTCAGAAAACCAAGGTAGTACCATTTTAATTATTGGCAAATATTCATCTTTCAATTCAAAGTTGTGTACTGGTCTTTGCAGTGGCCTGAATGCACTTTCTGTTGTAAGTTGCATATTCACGAGATTAGTAATCAAATATTTAATTACATTTGGTCTAAAATGAATATCATGGTCTTTTCCTATTACTTCTGTTGTCGGTAATAATTCTTTCAACAGGTTTTCATATTTTGGTAACCAAAAATGGCTGCAAAACTCCTTTCGAAACTCTTCCGTGTAAAGAATATTATCAATAATAAAATTAAAAATATCAAATAATAAAAGTCTATCATAGTCACTTGTTGATGTACTGTTAAGTCGTTTCACTGCTGCTACATAACCATCAACACAATGTGATGAAGTCACATAGTTAACAACTGCATGAAAAAGTAGCTGATTATCTTCGTCATATTCTAGATTTGATAATTCATCTTTTTTCATAAAGTACAATTGTGAAGCCATCATGTTACCGCGTTGAATTAAAAGCTCAATGAGTTTTCCCAAAATATGTTGGTAATTTTCCATGAATTGCCAACTGTCATATTGCATAAATTTCAAGAATGACTCATTTAATGGAATTATTTCCCGATACAAAGTTTCTCGTATCATCAATCTTGGATCATCATCTTCATTATTAGCATCATCACTATGATGCTCATTGCTCTCATTGTCCAAATCCTCGTTGAACACTGATTTCAATACATTAGAGATAAACTTAAGACAGTTTTCCATTAAAATAAATTCATCGTTAGACAAAGTACCACCAGTTAAAACAAATTTTTCAGTAAGTTCAACTAATCGTTTGTAAACTAGTGAAACAATACGATGTGTCAGATGTGAGAATCCATCGTCAGACTGTAACGACTGGATTTGTGCCAGTGACTGGATAATTTCAGCACTTGTATTTGGAGAAAACAGTTCTGCATATTGATCAAATAAAAACTTGAATTCATTCGAAGATAGTCTTTCAGTATGTTTATTGGGAATGGATTCCATCACTTCATTAGATGGAGGTAACGATGACATAATGCCAACTGTATCTGGAAGTAAAGACGAATGAAATTGAAACCATTCAAACATTTCATGAGATATTTATTTCAACTGATCAACTGTTTTGATCTGTCTCCTCAAACATTTAATCTGTACAAATGATATGGTCGAATATTTTTTTTCCACAAAACAAACAATAAAACAATAGTACTAATTTTGTTAAACAATTTTTTTAAACAAAGTGCTCAAGACCCAGCAAAGGCTCTTCGTTCTGTTTGTCGTTTTCCCACATCATCATACTACTGATTTTTATTTAGTTATCTTGCGTTCACGTATATCGAGAAACAAAAATACAAAACTGACTACCAAATTTACTAAAAAATGAATGCATTTATCTATACGAAAAGATTGAAGAAAGACACTATTGTACCATGCGTATATAGCATAATCTACTTAATCAAAAAAGAAGAATTTAGTGAAAAAATATTATTGACACACTTTATATCATTTCAATTAGTAAAGAGAACGATGTTATAAGACAGCAACAAAAACCTATAGATAGTTTGCACTACTTACATTATTGAAGAAAACTATTAGATGTTGAATGAAAGTGCAAAGCAGAGTGGTACTACGCGTTGAAAGTATTATTACACTACTTACTATTGACTCATAAAAACATTGTCCTAGAGCACTACTTTTTTCTTCTACTTAAAATATCTATAATATGAAGAAAATCACAGAAAAAAACCAAACCCAACAGCAGTAATCAAGCATTAGTGTAGATAGTGCCTACGTCAAGATAAATATTTGGATGTGCAGTGTGGGTTTGCGAGCAAAATCAATCAATAGCCATAGCACGTTAAAAAATAGATTCAATGCAGACAAAATATACCTTCATGCTTGACTGCTGATCATTATATCTATCGTGCACGCTTGTTATTTTGTTAGTTACTTTTTCTATCCATTCTGCTGCAATATATTTTGCCTAATCGTCATAAAATACAGCCGAAGAATAAATTGTCGTTATGTAAAGACGAAACACATGATGTAGTTCGATCAGCAGGGACGTTTTGATGATTGCTTTCGCTTTTTAGCTTATTAGCTATCTTTAGGTTTACTCGAATACATTTCAAAGCACATTTTTAAAAATGTTGCTCTTTATGGTTTTACTCACACTTTTCATGCATTGATCAAAACGCTAATCATGCGTTGCTAAATATCTCTGTGTGGTTATTTAGAAAATTTCGTATTAGATTTCCTTGCATATCAAATATCGAATAGAAAACAATTTGATGTAACAGTTCCAGACGAGAACATTCAAAAATTGGTAATCGAAACTCGATTTTTTTAATCACCATTGACATTATTCAATTAAGTTGAAATGATGACGGAATTATCGCATGTCAACAAAACTCTTCTTCATTTCGATTATAGAAACAGTTGTTAGTAATGATTGACTATTTTGAGTTTTCTGCAAGTGTCATTTGATCTGTAAGAAAGAATTACTTTTTTTTTTGACTTAACGATAAATTAAACGACGCTTGATTCGTCTTTACTGTTCAGTCGGCAGTATTTATTATACTATCGTAAATTTTTATCAAATCATCAGCGAGCTTTCATTCGAAGAGAACTTCGTATCGATAATGAATGCTAGTTCTTTCATACATGGTACTAATATTATGGAATGACATAGTTCAGGTTTTTGAAGGTCAATACATTCAATACCATGTCTACCTCGTGCTCATTCTCCAGTCCCGTTTACCTACACTTAAATCAGTATTGAGACACTATTTAACTTCTTGTAGAATTTAGTATACAAAATTCATTTAGTTCTAATATTCTGTATACTATTCACGTAGCTAGAAAAACGGTTTCGAAGTCATTTCAATGTATTGAAATCAAATTCGGGTGAAAAAGTGTTAATATTTGTTGAACTAAAACGAAGAAAAAATCAATGTGTTAAAACAGGCTCAAACACAATTTAATCCATTTGGATGCATTTTGAGAAAAAATATATCGTGTTTAACATGTAAAACTATTAAAGATTTGACATTTTATGAGCTTGATCAAGAACATATGAATCAATTAGATCGTAAGAAAGATCTAAATTGAGAATACGAAAACAAAAAAGATAACGACAATCAATAGAGTGAATGTAGTGAAGGATGCATAAAAACATTACGAGGAGTCGAAGGCATTCAATATATCTGAGTTTGAGTAATGAATGAGGATATGGGTTTTCTTTGCATTCTCACTCACGCGTAGCGATTCTACTTGAGATACCAATACATCTTGAGTCAAAATGGCATATATTTTGCCGTGGAATCTGGACACACTTTGTCGGGTCTTCTCTATCAGGCGTAGGTATAGGTGGATAGATGAGTGTAGGTGAGTGTGTGAGTGGAGAGGTGGGAGTGAGAGCGAGCGTTGGCAAAGGGAAGTATCTGTGGATGGAAGATCTGTAAAAACAAACACCCATCTACTCTGGCTCTCAATCTAATAATCTATGCATCCAACCATCCACCCACACCAGCGATATTTTCGGATTACAAAGCCTATTTTTCAACATTCACTTCTTGAATGTAGCAACATTCTGTTGTTAGATTATTTTGGTCTTTGTTGTGGATACTCATCAATTTCACAAAATAGGTACATTGAATGTTGATGAAAGACGTGAATAGATCTTTTTATTTACGTGTGGAATCTTTTTTTTCTCGTTCTTCTCCAGCAATCTTTTTTACAATTGTGTTTTCAAGGGTCAATAGTTTTTTGCATTTCTTTTGAAAGTTTTCTCATCTAGTGGACGACGAAAGATCAATACAGAAAAAATTGACAATCAGTTAAAAATGAGCAGACAAAAGGCACTAGTGCTTCGTTTCTATCATTTCTAAGTTATGTTGGCACAGTTTTAAGTGTCGGTGTGAACGAAAGTGTAAGGTAACTCACGAGTACACCCATACTTTATGCATCGATAGGATAAAAATACGCGTTCGACTAGTCGAATGTTTGAGTTTATGAACCAAAATATAAATTGTATGTCATTTGGACTACGCGTTTTCTTTTCTCTGAGCAGAGACTGACAAGGTGAATATTCTACTGATTTGAAACCAAAAAGCTAAGCATCACTGAAATCGATATCTCTATTTCAATATATTTGTTAATAATAATGCAGCGACATTCGAGTTTTTGTATTTATAAAGATCGGCGACATTTTTATTGTCTCTATGCATGCACAAAAGATTTCAGCTTTTTACACATATTGAAAATCATTATAAAAAACTTCATTAACAACTGTAATCACATATCAAATAAAATGTACTTGATGTATTAATTGAATTTTGCTTGAAAGCTACAGATAATTGCAAGAAAAAGGAATCATTTTTAATCATTCTTTTTTACCTTTTCTTGTATAGACAGCTAAAAAAAACAAAAGAAACCAAGAAACAATATTGCATTTTTTCTATCAATCCATCCACAAAAAATACCAATGGAATGTTTTCTTTTTTTTTCTCATTGTACATATTGACAAAAAGCGATCTGCGCAACCATATGAACAGAAACTTATTATTAATTAAGAACTGAATATATATGTACAATTTCTAAACAAAGGGCTATGATATTGAGAGCTGAATGAATGTCCATAGTATATCTGATATAATATCACTTTTTTGAACTGCTACAATACATGTGAGCTTCATGTTCTTTGGAAATAGTTGATTCTTCAAACGATAGTATTATTTGCAGGTCAATATTTCCTCGTGTTATCGATAGCAAGACAGTCGATACATCATTGCTCATCTCGTAGCTTTAACTTTGTTAGTCACGTACCATGTTCTTTGGCTCAATCATGCCGTTCTTTATATTATAATGTATCAAATAAACACCAAAACAAGTGTCTTCTTGTAGCTGATGGCAATATTCATTAATTGGCAAAGCAACCCTTTTGTCGCACTCAACAACGAAATTTGGTTATTTTTTTCGCTTTCACCATGCTGATATAAGGAAGCAAGAACAACCTCTCATTCTTTCTTAGGTAGCTAATTAATACATACAGTAGATTCAATTACGAATACCTCATTTGATGAATACATAGGAGTTTCTTTTTTTTCGAAAAGAATGTTTTTCGTAAAATTCAGTTTCGTTTCGACGTTCTTGAAAACTAATTGAAAATCTTTTTATTTTCATTTTATTTCATGATTGAATTGAATTCTGAGCTGTTGACGCTGTTTATTTTCAACCGATTGCTGAACGGCACGCTTTTGTCCAATCTCAGTTATCTTCCATTTTTTTGTCGGCGAAATCTCATTACATAATGCATGCAGCAATTTTTTTAAAATTTATCGAGTAAAAGAAAAACCCATCTGGAACTATCACAAATGGTATTTACATCACGTACACCAACGGTAGTTCGCGTCGGTAAACAATTATTACTCGGATGCATCCACTGCAAATTTTCTCAATTACATGTCTATTAATATATATTTCAACTAGGAAAAGCAAAAATTTACTCCTGCAAGGAAAATCAGCTATGGTTCTGTTCAAGTGAAACGACTCAGTCTATTGAAGAGATTGCATGGAGAGTCAAATCAACCAAACGACATTCAGAGGCAAACAATACGTCCTTCCACCCAAGCGCACGGAACTAGCTGGCCAAGAAGTTATCATGAGGAACCAATTCGACCGTTGAATGATCAGAGCAAGACTATACGCTCAGCAGGACATACGCAACAGATAATATCGAAAATCGAGCGATCAATACAGAACAAAAGAAGTATTCATATGTGGCAAGAATACTAGTCCATCGATCGACGTAAACTGCTTTCTACATTTGAATAGATAGATATTTTTTTTTTATTCGTTAGAAAAGAGTAAATAAAAATTATTCTTAAAAGAACTAGAGTATTTTTATCTTCTCGCAAATATTTCTTTACCTTTTACAAACGCTGTCATCTTCATGTGGACTTGTGCGAAATAAAATAACATGTAACTATGTAAACGGCGAACAGGGACTAAAAATACAAAATGAGTTAATCTATCATAATAATGCTTCGCTGATAATTATAATGAAAATGTCGATATTTTTTTATACG